ACAACAGCAATTTGAGGTAGTTTGTAGTGAGTAAATAAAAAATCGAAAAAATGATTTCAAATTAATATTGCATATTAATCCACTATTAAGTAACTAACAATGTCATAAGATTTCATATATTTAATATATATATGTAATTAAGGTAATAAAAATCGAGGGATCGTTAACCTTGTAGGTGGGTTGGTCGTGGTTGCTGATGTCACCTCTCGTAGTTTAGTGGTAGAATGTTGGTGCGTAAAGCCAAAAGTCCCGGGTTCGATTCCCGGTGCGGGTGTGACAACAGCAACAATTTTTCCCTCATTAATTTGAGGTAGTTTGTAGTGGATAAATAAAAATAGGAAAAAAATGATTTCAAATTAATATTGTCTTCTATCCTGCTTCCGCCTCTATGTCTTTGACTAGCCCTTCATGCTTGGGAAGGTGTTCTACCAACCTATCTCGCCACATTTTTATTGACTTCCATAGAGTCCTCTGTTCTCCTATTCTTTCTAATACCTCTTCATTATTAACCTTCTCTATCCACGGTATCCTCATCATGCGCCTGTAACATCCCATTTCGAACGCTTCTAATCTCTTTTCATGTTTCTCACTAGTACAGAGCCGCGCTTCAAACGAACACATTTAACAATCTTTTTCGAATTTCTAAATAAACCGTCCGCAAGCACTGAAGTGACTTCTTTTTGTTGAAGGCGTTTTATATCTTTTCTTCCCCTTCCACTCTTAGTTATCTGACTTCCTAGATTTCTTTTGTTTTATTGTTTTAATTCAATTAATTAACAATTAAACATCAAAGTGGGCATTATTTTGATCAACGGACTATTTTTATATTAGTTATAAATAAAATTCCCTGTATTTTTAGAGTATTTCTGAGGAGGAAATATCGGACGATCTCATGGACTTAATCAACACTCTGACTTTCACCATACCGAATACCGAATCTGCTCTGAAATATGGCAGTGTACTAACCGTCCTGGTTACCTTTTTTGCCATTTTGATTGTCCTCAGGAATCAGTGGTTGGAACAGAGAGAAGAATTAAGGATAAGCAGTTCTTATTAGACTAAAAAATATTACTCGTACTTGTAAATATGTTTGACGAATCTAAGTATTCAAAACAAAAAAAAATATGTAACAATTGCCATTTTATGGGAACGTAAAAATTTATTTCTTTCGTTATCCATTATTTCTAGTAGATATACAGGGTGCCCGTTATTGTAGAGGAATCTACGGAGATGTAAAAAATGTGCACAAGTATATTACACAGCTGGAAATATCACACGTGTACCAAAGATACTTGACAACGACAAAGGAATTGTTACAACTCCCTATACGACTACCACGTTAATGTAAAGATATTTTACATCAATTCCGTTTTTATTTCTTCGTAATATTTAAAGAAACACTCGACATGTTAGAGCTAGTACAGAATCCCATGAACCTTGACCGTCACAGTTTGCAGTTTATCTGTAGTTCACTAAAAAAGCACTAGATTGTCAGGTGCGATTGCGATTTTGTGGTGTGCGTGTGTTAGTTTGACAGACATCTGGTTGTATAGCGAGGCACATGGTTAACAGTCGAGTCAAGGTTTTCGTAATGTAGACTTTGCACAGGTGAAGGCTCATGACATTTTGAACTAGCTATACAGAACGTTTGTTTTAAAATGTTCTAAGACAGAGGTAGAATTTAATTAGAAATATAGATATGTACAGGTACCTAGGTGTAAAACATTTGTATTGAGAATTATATGTACATCCGTCCAAAATAAACGAATTAATTTTACAAAACTCATTTTATTTATTTAAACAAACCCTTTCAAAACTTAAAACGACCCGCCAATCGATCTAATAAAATATTAGCTATTGTTGTTTTGGTCAAAATATTTTATAAACAATAGATCAAAGTAATAGCGAAGAAGGTGAGCGCAGAGACGACGAAACGTGTCACGCTCGTGCCCATTTGTCTCCAAGATCCTTGATTTTTGACTGCGAAAAACAGTAGCAGCATTGCAATCCCGAAAAACAGAAGGAGGAGATTCAAAAAGTAACCGATTCTGATGTTTAGAGTTTTGACCATTACAAGGAATAAAACCATTAGTATAAAAAGAGGCACTACCAGTTTTAAACCAAAGAATACTGCAGTTATGCGACAATCGCACTGATCGTACACAAATGACTTGGTCCATGGTTTCAAGTTGCAACTGATGCTTGATATGTCTAGGACTCCGAAGAATCCAAGAAGTAACAGATATATCTGTATACTGTAAGGAATCTACGTATTAAAAAATAACCAGATTGTTAAATTGCCTATTAAAATAATAAAAAAAATTATGTGGTTTCATGAAACCATGATGCAAGTGAAACTTTTCGGATCGTAGGCATTTAACTGTAATTTCCGGAAAATTATTCTATTTAGGGTATTAAAATTAAAATCGCATTCTTAATCTTATCTTAATGATTGGAAAATGGGAATGATAATGGCAAGTCGCTCAAATCGCTCTGAGTTTCGCAGTCTATAAATGTAATTGTTCATGCACTTGCACGAATGAGTGAGAATCTACCGAGCGCCTTTCAGTTTTACCCCTACTCCGCGGCCGGCTGTAATGCGACATGCGATAGATGGACGAAAAACTTTGAGGCGATGTAAATAATGAAAGTTTCACTTTAAAAAGCATTTTATTTTCGTGCGCAACAGAATAAAAAGATATTGAAAGGCTGCGAAACCTCAAGATTTATCGCAGCTATTAAATGACCTACAATCTACAATGAATATTCAAGATTGATAAAAGTATACAAATACAAACGTCCTCCTTACATTTTGCATATTATTATCTTTGCAAATAGCAACAGGATTTTCACAAAACGAATTTTTCCATATTGCTCTCAACTGCTCAACACTCTTGAGTTCAAGAGCAATCCAAATAATTATAAACCAGGTGTACAGTAAAATAAACATCGGTTCAATCCCACCGCTTACCAGTAAATAAAGAGCCAACAAGGACGACAGACAATTAAGCGATCTATTTGCAATTACTGGCGGTGAAAAAAACGGAGACATCACGCAAAATGCTTTAAAATAAATGAATTTAATGAAATACTTGTGCAAAAAAAAAAAGAATACAATCGAATATTTATATTGGGATCCGTCAAATGGGCATACACCATCTGGTGGCAAAATTTATAACTCGAATAGAACAGTGTTCACCATGTAGTTATTAAGAAATATCGTCAATATAACCCATTGAAACTTTGTGGGACAATTTAAGAATGATTTGACACATGGAACCTTGTCAATGGTGTTCATAAGAGAAAAATTAACGTAGTAAGCAAAACAACATATTGATCTAAAAATAAGGGTAAATCATTTGTTGGGTTTGTTATTTTTTTTTTTTTAATAAAATACGGAATAAACTTACTGGTACCAGACATTATATTCCGTTGTATCTACCAGAGGTAAATAGAGAACTAAACAAATAAGAAATGCAAGATTGAGAAACCATACTCGAAGGAATAAAATACTTTTACTTTCCCTGTAAACAATATAAACGTTGCCCATAATAACAGCCATTTTCTATTGAAGCTCCGACAGAACACAGACCAACTTTTACCTGCTGCCTTAACAACGCGTTTTAGAAAATACCACAAATGGCGCGGTAAACGCCATCTGTAGTACGATGCTACATTTTAGGACTACGTATTCTCGTATGTAGCATCGTACTACAGATGGCGTTTAACGCGCCATTTGTGGTATTTTCTAAAACGCGTTGTTAAGGCAGCAGGTAAAAGTTGGTCTGTGTTCTGTCGGAGCTGTCTGCGGCGCGCTGATGAGATCCAAAAAGATCGAAATCGCGATCCGCGTCTGGCAGTTTAGACAGAATACAGCCCACTTCGAATTATTTTATTCGATTATGCTAACGTGCCTGTCACGTTAAAGTTAGCTACGCCGGGATTCGTTTCAGCAAGTAGATATCCATATCGTAATCCTAAAATGTAGCATCGTACTACAGATGGCGTTTACCGCGCCATTTGTGGTATTTTCTAAAACCAGTAGTTATATTTGATTGTTAAAACTTCGTTTAATGTGGTTGATTTGGCACGCTGATAGAACTACTTAGTTTGAAGACATTTTGCTAACCAAGAAATTTTTCTAGTACAGTCGATTGTCTAGTTGTCGCCCTTCCTATTATTTATTTATCAACAAGTAGTATTCGTTACATTCTATAATTTGAAATGCAGCAGAATGACAATTAAGAGAATTCGTTATGACTCCGGCTCTCGTTTAACGCATTCGTTCTTACTTCTGCGTAACTCTCGAAATGCTCTTCCATTTCTCCAATCAACGATCCCAACAATCTGTTGAACGCGTCCAAGTCCAAAAAGGCAACTTTGACGTCGCCCACGGCAAACGCGGATGCGGCTCTAGGTTTATCAGTGATGAGCGCCATCTCCCCAAAATAGCCTCCATTCTCGATGAGGTTAATAGGCGCGTACTCGCCGTAGTCGTCCAGAACGGCAATTTTCACGACCCCTTCTTCCACGAAGTACATCCCGTCCGGTTTGTCGCCCTCCTTTATTATTATGTCGTTCGGTTTGAATGTCATCGGCACCAGGGCATCCGCCAGGTTCATCAGGTCGTACTGGGACAGTTTTTGGAGAAGAGGTACATCTGCCAAAAATTTTTCGTACATTTTCCGTTTCAAGTACGTTGCCTTTAGGACTATTCGTTTAAACGCCATCCGTTCCATGCCCCAGAGGGTGCCCTCTGTTTCGGCGATTATTGTCGCATAACGGGGTTGGTTGTACAAGAGAGACAACTCCCCGAAACTACCTTTCTCGTCGTATGTCTTGATGAGGGTGGCCCTTTCACCTGGACGCGAGGTAACGTAGACGTTGTACACCCCTTTCTCTATGATGTAAAAATTATCTCCATCTTCGCCCTGTTTGATTATCACGTCGCCTGATTTGACGCCTTTGAAAAACATGGCGTCTAGGACTTCTTCGATATGTTTAGCGTCCAATGCTCTGAAGAGAAATATGTGTTTCAGTTCTTTCGATAGCCATGCGCGTTGCTTTTTTGTTTTTGGATGGACGACTTTTTCGTAATCTTCATCATCGTCGTCTTCAGGATCATACGTTTCGGCGAAAACGCATCGTCTGCGTTCGTTCCTGTTCCTGGGAGCGGGACCTTCGCTGGATGATGAGGACGACGTTGACGGATTTCGTCCTGTAGCTTCGTTTGGTACCACGACCGTCTTTCTTCCCTGTAAACGGCGGAAGAAATCGATGGTGTAGGACAGCACGTCCTGAGGCTGGTCCAGGAGATAATTCAGAGTGTAATCCAGCAATACATCTCTGACCTCCATGCTGGGATCGGTCTTTTTCTCGACGAAATTCATTGAACGCTCTTCGGGGATTTTCGGATAATAAGAATTTTCGCCAAGTGCAAACAAAAATTTAAATTAGCGATAAAAATTACCATGTGCTTCTGTATGAACAACCCAATTTCGTTTGCTAATTTATACCATTGGGACCATAAATTATTTAAAATACTGTTTATTCAATTAATTTTCTTTGAAACCCCTGAAAAATCTTATTGAAATGACACCTTCCAACCCATTAAGCTATTAACCGCGATAAAAATAAATACGACGGGGTTATATTATTAAACTGTCAATATTCCTTAATTTTTTGGCATCTAAGCATACGGTAATGTGATTATTTTTGAAATTGGCGTATTTTGGATTAAACTTAAGACCACCCATCTACGTTTAGACGTTCACGATTTTTTTTTTAATTCGGAATGCTTTTCATAATACTGCTAAATGCTTAATTTCCAATTAAGGTGTTTTTGGGTTTAAGCATTTGATTGATGAATATTCTAATTTTCCAGTAATTATTTAATCTGCAAGGCTTTACCACAACTTCTACTGACAAAATTGTTCCTTCTTGTGGTTAGTAAAAGTAATATAAACATTTGTAATTTATTTATACATATTTCGTTAAATAAGGTACAATCTCAATTACTTTCGACTACAACTGTACATGAATGTTTACGTTTCTATAAACAGCTGACGTCTGACAGGAAAACGTAACCTAATCTAACCTCGATCTCATAAATATGCCTAACGAAAAATGTTTATTTGCAAAACTAAATTTTTAAAATATACGTTACACCTTCAGTTGTCACAAATATTCAAAATGAGTAGCAGAAAGTTGTCAGGTAAACGAAATTATGAAGACTACGAAGGTTTTAAAAGGCTTGTTGACACTGCAAAGAACATAGTCGTGCTAACAGGTGCAGGAATTTCTGCAGAATCAGGGATTCCAGTGTTTAGAGGTGCCGGAGGCTTATGGAGAAAATACAAATCCGAAAATTTGGCAAGTCCGGACGCATTTGCTTCAAATCCAGCGTTGGTGTGGGAATTTTATAACTACCGAAGACACATCGCCTTCAATGCAAGCCCAAACAAGGTAAGTAACACTCAACATGTATTGATACAACTTCCGTATCACGGCTTTTTCGAAACGTTAATTTTTCTTTTTTGGAAATGGCCCAATTATGAAAAATTTACATAAAAAAATCGAGGGATTGTTGCTTAAAAAAAGTAGTCCATTGGTAAGTGTGATCTGCAAGTATTTAATAGTATTTAGGACAACGCCTAAGCGGGCAGAGTGCGATATTTCGATGGAAGGCCCATGGATAGAGGAACATAAAGGGGGAGGGGGTGTCGGGAACCTTCAACTTTTTTAAATAATAAAATTGAAACAATACTTTTTAATGACTTATTTAGGTTGAGGTAGGTAAAGGCAACACCAACGAAGCGAGTATTGTGGCTGTTTTTTCGTTTACAATGCTGAAAATTGAGGTTTGTGTGCCCCCCCCCACACCCTCACCAATATGCTCCTTGATTCATAGGCTTTCCATCGAAGTGTCACGCCCATCGTGGGCGTTGCCCCAAATACCATACTGCAACCTCTGTCTCTTTCTCCCCCCCCCCCCCCTACCTAACCTAATACAATATAGCCCCCTCCCCTTAAGGGGTTTTTCCTTCGTCCGCTGACATGTGGGGCTCCAAATACGGTATTTGCCTCCTTTTAGGACCAGTTCCAATCAATCATAAGTTTATCATAATTGCGAGATATTTTCAATCATTTCCAAGAAAGAAAAGTTAAGTTTTCGAACTTCTTCCAAAGGTAGTTTTTTAAGGCCCACATATCTTTGGCAGACTATGAGAAAAAGTGTAAAAAAGAAAACAGAAACCTCAGCATTGTAACGCAAAACGTCGATGGACTGCATTTGCGCGCCGGATCAGAGAAAGTGGTTGAATTACATGGGGCCCTCAGAAAAGTCTCTTGCACGAACGGAACGTGTGAAAATGTTGAAGAAAATTACGACGACCCCATCGTACCTGCTTTTGCCAATAGGGGGTGAGGTGTTGTTTATCGCCGACTGAATTATATTAATCGACATTGATATTATTTTCTAAACAGGGACGCTTCATTAGATCAAGCAGATTTGCCCGTAATTGACAGGAAAGATTTGCCCAAATGTAAGAAATGTGGTTCATTAGCAAGGCCCTATATTGTATGGTTCGGGGAAATGCTGGACCCAGACGTTCTCGAGGAGGCACGTAAGACTTTAAGATTTAAAGGCTGCTATTTTGAATTGTTTCGGTTTACGTGACTTGCAGAGTTATTGGTTGGAGGATGCGATTTGTGCCTGGTGATTGGCACTTCATCTGTCGTCTATCCAGCTGCAATGTTTGCCCCTTCGGTTGCTCAGAGGGGCGTTCCAGTTGCTGAATTCAATTTAGAAGAGCATCCGGCAGATTCCGATTTTGCGTACGTTTTTCAATCGAATATTTATATTATAGTATACCTACATAAAAAAATTTTAGGTTCCATTTTCCAGGGCTGTGTGCAACAACTCTTCCGAAAGCATTGGGATTGCAATAGATAAGAAACAAGGCAAAAATAGAAAACTATTTAGTGCAGAAATAGAGTCCCAGTATCATAATTGTAGACGTTGTGTAATAATTTCGTCGTTGTGAATTTCAAAAAAGATAAATCAAATAAAATTAAACTGTGATGAAACGTATGGTGTTTATTTATGATTTAACGTTCCAAGAGTCATATATTTAAAAAATATATATTAAAACATTACTTGTACAATGTAATTTAAAATTAGGTCCAGATGGGAGGAAATAGAACAAACCGATTGACAAAGAGTTGAACTAGGATACTCACATCAGAGCCACATCAGTCTTAACAGGGCATGGGGTAAAAGGATTTGGGTAGGGTATCGACATCGGGGTTAAATTAGTCTAAATAAGGCATGCCATAAAAGGGTTCGGATAAGGTATCACTGTTAGAGACATATATGGCTAAATAGAATATACTGGTAAAGAATTGAAATAGGGTAATAGGGCATGCTGCAAAAGGCTTAAGGTAGGGTAGTAGTAAAGCTGTAGGGATTCTGTGACAGTTCGATGGCCTGTCCATCCTCAGTACCTTACTGTGCCCTCTAATGGAACCTTGGAGGTCATTCTTCAGTTGAAGAAGTTCTTAAGAGCCTCTGGATTGTCCTCATAGTGTTATAACATGGCCAAATTAGTAATAAAAGAGAATGTCGTAAAAAAGCTCATGTAGAATGTCAACATCAATGTCAATCCGTCTAAATAGGGCATATCAAAGAAGAATGCATATGGAGAATCAACATTTGGGCCAGATTAAGCGATATACTGTCATCGGGTTGAAATGCAGCATCCACCTCAGACACACATCAGTCTTAAAGGAGAATGCCGTAAGAGGGCCTCACGTAGGACATCAATATCAATGTCCAATTAGTCTAAATAGGGCATAGCAAAAAAGGCAGATGGAATATCAACGTCAGGCGAAAATGGACATACCGCCAACAGGTTGACATACGGTATGCACCTTTGGGACACAACAGTCTTAAAGGAGAATGCCTTAAAACGCCTTCTGCAGGGCAACGACATCAATGCCCACTCAGTTTAAATAGGGCATACTAATAAATAGTGCAGATGGAGCATCAACAGTAAGGTCAAATCAGGCGAAATAGGATGTACTATCAGCGGGTTGAAAGACGGTGTCCATCTCAGGGAGGTATAAGTCTTAAATGCACGTGTAGGACATCTAAGTAGGGCATACAAAAAAAAGGGTGCAGATAGGGTGTTAACATTAGAGTCAGATAAGGCGAAATAGGACATACCACCAACAGATTGAAATAGGGTATCCATCTCAGACACACATCAGTCTTAAAGGAGAATGCCGTAAGAGGGCCTCACGTAAGACATCGATATCTTTGTCCAGTCAGGCTAAATAGGGCATAGCGAAAAAGAGTGCAGATGGAGTATCAACATTAAAGTAAGATCAGGCGAAATAGGACATACTGTCAAAGGGTTGAAATACAATATCCACATCATGAAAACATGTAGGGCATCCGCTTTAAATGCCTACTGTAGATAGGGCATACCTAAAAAGTGTGCAAATGGAATATTAACAAAGGTTCAATTCAGTTTTAATGAGCGTGACGCAAGGAAGCTCATGTAGGATATTGATATCAATATGCTCATTTAGTCTAAACAGGGCACCAAAAAATGTGAAGATGGAGTAGCGAGAACGAGTATGTTTGTGTGCGATCGGACACACGTGTGCGTGAATGGCTTATCGATTTGCCGACTAGCCGCGGGCTGGTATTTGTAAATGTGTGTGTCGTACCTGCGTTCTGGGAAAGCAGTAAATAGTTCAAACAAACTAACCGGATGTTTCCAGAAGGTTCCCGAAAGTAAACAAAATAGTATTTTGAGGAAGAGACGATTGCCGAGAAAAGTAGAAATAAATTGACCGTTGCAGAAGTGGATCGAGAAATAAATTGACAGTTATAGCAGTGAAATAAATAGCGCAGTGAATAGTGATATATCAACAGTAGTGTAAATAAATATGAATAATTCATAACCTAAGTTTAGTAATAATTTAATAGTATTTTTATGTTCTTTAATAATTAGTGTAAATAAATAGTTTTTGTCGTTATCAGTCTTAGAAGTTAATCTTGTTAAACCCACGAACATTACAATATCATAGTTGTGCATAAAATAAGTCTTTTATATATACCTATATGTAGCCATTAAGGATGGTAAATGTTAATTTAAATTATAGTTCTTGACCAATACAATACTTTTTCTAACTTTACATTGAACTAAACACTACAAATAAGACGGAGTAAAAGGCATAGAATATGGAACGGATATTTTTTCTAATATGCAAGTTGATCTGTGATTTTGATTTGTAATATAGTATTAAACCTTAACAGTGACGGATTAGGTCACGTTCGTCAAGGTCATAGGACGGATAATAGTACATACGAGGAAATTAATATATAATAGGCGTTTCTCAAAGGCATGCAATGCAATTTTAATTCCATACAGTTCATACGTTTAATGTTGAAGATTATGTTATAGTTGCTATGTAGCGCTATCACGCGAAAACTATTAACTAACTAAAAGGTATAATATTAATGTTCACAATCGGCTTATTCATAAGTAATTTAAGCGAATTACGAGAGCGAAACTATTGAAAAAAAGTGATTTCAAAAAATGCAGAAAGTTACTGTCGCTGAAGAATACAAAAAAAATAAGGAATTAACCAAAGAAGATATTCGAAGGGTGGAAGAATGGCTAGAAAAACAACCCCATTTACCTAAAATGGAAGGTAAGTGCTATAATTAATTTAAAGAAATTTCTAAATAAAATCTGTAAATAGTTGAAGTAACTATTTACAGGGAGGACCAGGTTGGATGTTTTCTAAAAGAATAATGTCTATTTCAAAAGAATAATAGGGCGTTACAATAACATTCTACTACTCTATGTTACGGTTACATTCAATAACATTGGTCTCCGGTTTACAAATCGTATATTTCTTATTTTAGAATTGGAGATAATTTTATTCCTACATAGTTGCTCGTATAGCGTGGAATTTACAAAAACCACGATCGATACGTATTTTACAATGAAAACGCACGCTCCTGAATTCTTTACCAATCGAAGTCCTGACCTGCCCTCAGTCAAACAACTTTTAAACGTAGGGTAAGTAATCAAACTAATTGATAAGGAAACAGGAATGAAACTGTATTCGGCTCTTAATTCACTAGCAGAGTGTGTACGAGGTCTATCGAAAAGTATCGCGAATTTTGTGTTTATTCAAAAAATCATTTTTTGTGATCTTGTTCAGCTCCTCCTTCGATGCCGTCTTTATCTCCTCAATTGTACTGTAGCGTCATCTTTTTTGGGAACAAGAAAAAGTCACAAAGGGCCAGATCTGGGAAATACGGTGGCTGCGGCATTTATAGTGCGTTGTTTTTGGCCAAAAATTTGCGAACAAGCAACGGTATATGAGCAGGGGCGTTATCATGGTGCAAAAGCCAATTTTTGTTCTTCCACAAATCCGGGCATTTGTAGCGGATTACTTCGCGCAAATTGCTCATAACTAGCAGGTAATATTCCGTATTGACCGTTCTACCCTGTGGCAAGAATTCATGATGCACCACGTCCCTGCAATCGAAGAAAACTGTAAGCAAAACCTTCACATTCGACCTAACTTGGCGCGTTTTTTTCGGCCGTGGCTCGTGCAGCAGCTTCCATTGGGATGATTGAGCTTTGGTTTCCTTGTCATAACAACAAACCCATGTATAAGAACAAAGGCTTTCACGGCCGCAATGCATAGTAGAATGAAGATTCGGGCTATAGGGCCGTGGTCTAAGTGAACTTCACGCTGGACAGAATAGTTCACTTAGCCCGAATCTTCATTCTACTATAAACCCATGATTCGTCGTCACTTATGACCCTCGGGAGCAAATTTGGGTCGTCGCGGACAGAATCCAACCTTAGCAATGTTAATGCGATGCTGTTTTTGGTCGAAATTGAGTAATTTTGGTACGAATTTTGTGGCGATCCGCCTCAAGCCCAACTCAATGGTAAAAGTCGAATGGTAGGAGTCAATCGATATGTTTATGTCCTCAGCACCTTCTCCAACGGCGATTCGACGATTGGTCAATACTATTTTCTTCACTTCATCAATGTTTTTGTCTGTTGTTGACGTGCCCGGAAGTTCGGCACGCTCTTCATCGTTCACATTTTCTCGTCCCTTTGAGAACATTTTGTACCACCGATAAAGGTTGCTTCGGTCCAAGGTAGCTTCACCATATGCCACAGTCTCCATGCGGAATGCGTACGCGCATTTAATTCTTTAATCCGTTCTTTCGAATAGGCCAAAAATCGAAGACGGAGCCAAAACACGTACAAGCAAAGCAGCTATCAAAAATTAACCGAACATTCAACATGGCCGACCTTGTCGGAATAAGTGACAGACATGAGTACCAACATAACTCCACAAAAAAATCGAAAATCGAATACACTCAACCCACGGAAATTTAAAATACGCGATAACTTTTGAACAGACTTCGTACGTAATTGTTATAGTAGGAATTAAATTAAAGGATTAATAATAAATAATTTNTGTGTGTAAGTTAAGTGTAAAATAATTATAAGAATTTTCTGTAGAATTATTATTTGCTAATTGTAAATACCATTCAGTTATAAACAAGCGATATAAATAAATTGTTATTTTTAAGAGGCCGAGACGTTGTTCAAAATCCGAAAATTATTGCACTCACTGTAACGGTCCTGTTTTGCTAATCTTCAATAAATAATGGCACCGGGCTATAAAGGAGATTTGTCTTATCCCTATAAACATGACAGAACTCTGCGTGGATGAATGCGTTGTTTATACCAGCACAATTGAATTATGACACAACGAAAGGGGAGCAAACCAAAGAGGAATAACAAAAAATGAAATAAAATAACCGAAAGACAAGCATACCATTGCATTAATTCTGTAAAATAAGCGACGTTATACAGTTAATACCCGAGAAAGAAGATGTCCTGTAATGAGAGTTATTATTGTCTTGAGGATTAATAATAAATAATTTTACAATGAATTGTCAAGATATTATATATTCAACGACAAAATTAATCTCTCCCTGTATCATACCCGAGAAAGAAGATGTCCTGTAATGAGAGTTATTATTGTCTTGAGGATTAATAATAAATAATTTCTTCGTAGTTTGTACGTCACCCTTCCGAAACCAACGCCGGAGGGGTACCGGGTGTTGTTTGCCAAATTAATGGATAGCGACCCCGATAATTATATTTTTTCGGATGCGTGCAAGGGTTTTGACATGAGCACTATGCTGCATTTGATCCAAGAAGGCACCGACAACGGCCAAATAATTCTTTTCGACATGAAAGGCCTCACGTTCGGTCATGTGACCAAATTGGGTATTGTTACCATGAAGAAAATGCTTTACTATTTACAAGTAAGTATACAAACACGATAAACACAAGCTATGGGGTGCTGAGGGACGACCGATGTGAAGCATGTTTCTTGGGCTATTCCACAAATATTAATTACAAATTTTGGTCATGATATTTTGTAACGAAAAACTGACAAACATCTAACCGTTCGTTACTACTAATACGTTAGATTCCGAATCTTTTTAAAATGATTCTTATTGGATGTATTCACCAGGTAGTAATTGAACCTATTCGTCATCTCTCTCTTTCTCTCTTTATAAGTAGCAGTAACTAAGATGAACAGAGATGTCCACTAACAAATTCATTTTTTGGCCAGCGTTGCCAGACCTAGAGAAATTTCCCTAGATCTTAGGGAATTTAAAGGCAGTCTAAGAAAGAGGGAATTTTTATTTAATTTATAATATAATTTAATTTTTGTGCCATTTGAATTCTTATTGTTTACGTGCCCTTTGAAAATGTCATTAAACACTTCGGAGTAACTAAAGAAAAAAACGACTCCCTTTTTGCGCTAAATATGATTTTTTGGTTTAAACATAAACATCTTTTTTTCTTCATTGCGAAGAGATACAAGGGATGATACAAGATTTTTGCGATAAGGAACTTGGTTCCAAAAAAAACTGATAAAAGTACAGGTGGCATGAGGTAAAAAACGTGAAGGAAAGAAAAACAGAACACACTACAAACGAATGTAATTTGTTTTGGCCAACGTGGTATCCAAAAAGATTTGCAGAGTCAGTCATGCGTATCACGTTTTGACTGATAATACTGTCATGGTCAATTGACCGTGACGAAATTTTCGGTCTATTGATAACAACATTTTTCACCCCAATGATTTTGATACCGTATAAATAGTGACGTTCGGAACAACCCCAATCATTCCTGTTTTGAATAGTGCTCGAGTAAGTGATCAAGATGTTTTATGGAATATTTCCGATCGCCTTCTACGCCGCTGTTCTACAACCGGAAGTTGAACGTCTACCAACGGAAGTTCTGGCCATGGTGTTCAGGTAAGTCATAATTATTGTTTTTATTTAATTTATTATTATATTGCAATTGTTATTGTAAATATTTTAGTCGTGTATTTTTGTTTAATTATTGATTTTTTTATTTTTCAGATATTTGGACGGAGATTCCCTGATGAAGGCCGCAAAAGCATCTATTAAATGGAGAAACGTCATACTGGGGGATCCGATTCTAAGAAAGACTTTGAAGAATAAGTTGAGGGATGAAAGACGAATGAGGATGGAATTCATACTGAGACCTCAACTAGGGGTTAGAGTGGAGCGTCCACAAGAACCGACCACAAGGATGTTTGGGAGAAACAGTTGCACCAACAAGAGGGTTGTGGTGGAAAGAAGAAACATATTCGAACGACCCCTTCAGTTAAATGGGGCGAGCATGAAACGGAGGAGAGAGGACAAGTTGGAGGTTCCTCATAAACCAAAGAAGTCAATGAGAATGTAAATTTGTTGTTTGTAAGTTAAATGACAGTGTATATATATATATATATATATTGTATATGTATATGTTTAATAATATATTTATGTAATTGTGATATTATTAGTAAATAAAACTTGATTTGAAAATTGACGTGTTTTTTATAACTACTCTTTCGCATAAAGTATAATAAAATATTATCATTAACTTACATTCATGCCCAGCACGTAGCCTATAGTGGGTCATCTGAAATCAAGGTAAAAAACAATTAATGCATGTCACATTTGTTTATTGTTGGGCAATCTCTTTTATGTTCTACATACGACAAAAATTGTTTATATTTTTCATAAGAACCTATTGGATAATTGTTTGAACCGATGCAGCGCATGTTATAAAATAAGCACCTTTTTGTCTTCTTATTTTTTCAAGGATGCCCTTCCAGTTCGATTGAAAGGTTTACACTTTATTAACGTGGTACCATTCATGGATAAGATAATGGCCCTGATGCGGCCATTTATGAGAAAGGAACTGCTAAGCGTGGTAATTTCACAATTATTATTAACGATAAATAATAAAGGGTGACACTAATTCGTTTCGTCTTTTCGCTTTCAGTTTCATTTGCACACAAATGGCATGGAAAGCTTATATAACTTTGTTCCCCAAGAATGTCTCCCTAAAGACTATGGAGGAACTGCAGCTAGTTTAACTGAATTGCACGGTGAGAACTTACTGACGACCAGACCGTTGTCCAGTATATTCTGAGATTTTTACTGAAACACTGAATTTGTTGAACACTATATTAACTTAAATTTTCATTTCTAAACATACTATTGGGATCCGTCAAATGGGAGGAGCCTAAAAACATGGCGCCGATTAGGGATAATTTATCGTAGTTCCTATAGTGTACCGTGCAATTTCCAAGTTTTTAATTTTAAATTACGATAAAATGATAAGTATTGACACAATATGTGATTGGGCTGACACTAAGCCTCGGAAAGGAAATTTCGTTGAAGGTGAGCGTGTTTTTAATGCCAATCACATTATAAAATTCGGAAATAACAAACAAGTTTACTGCCTACTTTTTACAAACTTCGGATTTAAAAGGTTCGTGCAAAGCCTATTTAAGAGAACGTTGCAAACACATTATTGCAACTTTGTTGTATTGCAGCAGGTAGGTTCTTAACCTCAAAATACTTATATCGTACCATTAGAATTGTGTTAAATCAATTACACAGGAATAAATAATTTCTCACTTTATAATTTTAGTATGATTCTAGTTTTAAATATTAAGGTTATGGCTGATGGTAAATACTTGCTGAAATATAATCATGTGCATTAAAATGACGTGAACAAATTTTTATTCCGGAATTCACTTCTTTGATACCTACTGCTTTCATCCAAGCTTCTATTAGTTTACTTTTTTCTCTAATTTTCCGAATATATTTTTTACATATATAAAACGGTTAGTTTTTATTGGAAAGTAGTTAATGTAGGTGAAGAGTGAAGATCTATGTCTGAAGTGCTATTGCAGCTTTTCACTGAACATATTAACTTTTTATTTGATTTAACTTTAGAAGAAAACTTCGTCGACTCCATCATCAAAAAAATTTTTACTTTTTTAACGTGTTTTATTATTTTAATAAACAATTTTACAATTTGCGTGCACATTTCCTATGTAAATTTTTCCCTCATTCGAGTTATAAATTTTGCCACCAGATGGTGTATGCCCATTTGACGGATCCCAATAGGTACATATACTAAATATATGAACTTGGGTGTCGAATACATAACAATATAAAGACACGAAACAGTTGGTCTTTCTAATCCTAACACAATCTTCGCATTTCCTGGAAACTAGAACATTAACTATTTCCTATTACTCTTGTTTCTGCTTTCATTTTCTAATGTGTTTCTAACTGATCTTTCATGAAGATGTTCTAGCATCCTTTCTTTCCTTTTCCTTATAGTCTTTGTTATAGTCCGTTTATTTAGAGAAAAGTACACAATAGCTGATCGATATGCGCGAACTGCCTTAATGGGCGTAACTGTCAAAAGTTATTTACGGCGCCAGAGGCTTAAGATTGGGTTTTAATCGGAAACATCTGGCGGTAACCGATCGGCCATATTCCTGGGACCAGCCTACGATCGATATTCGTCTGTGCGCATCGCCCGTACTGTACCTTTCTCTAAACGAACGGACAATATCATATTTTCCCAGTGACAAAAGAAGAGTACGGGAAGGTTCCGGAAATAACCAAGAACATACTCTATGACTCCAACAGAAAATACCCAGTAAAAACCAAGTGTTTTAAATGTGAAAACTGAGAAATATTTCTTGCGTATAAAATTTTAGTATGTATTCCTAAAGTTTTCACACTTTTAAAACTCACTTCCTCAATCCTGAGTTAGAATTATACAAAATAAAATAATCATTTTATTTGTTTGTCTATCAATTAACTGTTCAAATTGCTTATTTTCGATTAAATTATTAATAACAATGTAACAACAACTTCTTATCATCTGTTTCGACAACTTTGTTTTAAAAGATAAAAACCTTACAAACGTTTCGTCTTGGCGGCTTTTATCAAGTGGCGTTTGAACACTTTCTATATATAGAAATTCATCATTTGTGTCGTTTTGTAGAACAAGTGAAGAAAAACATCAACGAGAATGCAAACTACTTTGTCGAAGATGAGAAAAGGAACGCTGACGAAAGTAGACGACCAGGAAGGCCGAAAGTGTCTGGAGAAATTTTCGGAGTGGACGGGACATTTCGAAAGCTAGAACTCGATTGAGATCATGAGAATTTTTTTGAATTTATAAATATTATACATATACAATGTTAAGGTAGTCCGGTCGGGCATTGAATTATCACTGGTAAAAACAGCAAATAAATAAAAATTATGAAATTTATTTTAGAAAGTTCCTTGAAATGAAGGTGGGTGTGTGTGTTAGAAGCCTTTTTTCACTGTTGGGTTGTCTACAAGCAAACAATAATCATAATTTTAATCGCAAATATTAAACTACCTAATAAGTGTAACTTTGTATCATTGCCGAATTAATGATAAGCAAAATAAGAGCAAATAGAATAAATATCGACTAGATGATTAAAAATCATGTGATAACGAAGGAAATTTTTGTATACACTTATGTTATAATTATTACGATAACAAGGGATTCAATAATAAATAAATAAATACAACTAGGAATCACTACGTTAATCAAACTAAACCGGGGATATGAAATAATTCACACTACGCCGTGCTATGACCGTGTCCAAGACGATATTTGGCTATGCTCCATACCCGAAATGTGGAAATGCATTTGTTTTTGTCCAACCGACATATTGAACATCAACTTTTCTATGTTTTAGCTTGACGTAGCATGAATGCAAAACTCGACCTGGGTTCAGTAATATGAAAACAGCACGTAACATCACGGACTCGAAACGGTGTAGTGTGAACCATGCTTAAGCGTGGTAACTGCCGACAGCAGTTTTATCACTATCAGAATAAGACACCTCATTTTTTAGTTTATTTATATTAAATGCACCATCCGTTAACATGAAAAAATCGCTAACGTAAACAACTGTTGTTCTTTCATACATTTATTTTAATTAACCCTGTAGAGTGCAAAAACTCATCAAAGCAGACAGAACGTAGTACTACAGTGGGTAGTTGATTATCGACAATGTATTAATCGCCCATTTCGCGACCAGATAATTGAATTAGTTTTTTTCAATGATCATCACATGTTGTTATCGTTTTTACTTATTAGCAATATTAATATTAATAATATAAATAAAAACAATATTAGTAAACAAATAGCAATTTGTCGCATGTGATTTGGTGAGGATAATAAAAAACGAAACCGTTCGAGTGAATCACCTCACAAAGTTCAACAAACCGCTGTTGCTGCCGGTACATTATTCTTGCGGAAGATGTTGCCGCTAAGACGCGTTCCCGAATTGGAAGGAAAGGTGTATTACAAGGTTTGCGTTACGGGGAGACGTTACGATCCTATTAGGTGGAATGTCAAAAATTGATGAATTAATTACTGATTCGAATGTATCTTTCAAGTTAGTATCGTGTTGCATTTCAATCAGTGCTTCATGATTTTCATCAGGCATCTCAGAAACGTTGACAAAACGGATTGAAGATCAAGTTCTGGATACTTTTGTCCTAGCAGTCAGGAAAATAGCGATTAAATCCACATTTTTTAATTTTTTCAAATGGAGTGTAATGGCTCTTTTGTATTTCTACTTTAATCTCAGTTTAATATTATTCGGATGACCTCGTGGACCACTGCGGGTGCTTCCAGAACCACTGACCTAGGCAAATGCTGAGGCATCAATATTCCAGATAATCTTTCACTCTTTTCTGTCTTCACTTCGTCCGTGTCAGTTTTCTCACCCCAAACACCACCCTGCCGCTCATACAATTCCTAAAAGGAGGCTGAAGAGGGATTTCAATCCTACCCTCCGACGTGATCCGGAGGGAGTGGCCGCCCACCATCGTTAGTAGCTTGTAAGAATGAAACAAACAAGCGTTTTTTTTTTATGAAGGAACTTTGGTGATTTATTTTGGAAATCCTTAGGAAGGCTTCTGAACTAAGAATTAATTAGTTAGCCAAATAATTCGTTGCTCCGACTACAGAAATAACAAAGTGATGCTTCTCTATTTGGATTTAAAGTCATCACCATAAGGTCATCAGTCCCAAGACTGGTTGGATACGCACCTCCAGTAAAAAAAAAAAAAACTTTTGGGTATTTCATTCCCACCAGCCACTAATGCTGGTGGGCGGGCAGTCCCTCCGGACTACGCCGGAAGGTAGGGCGGAAAGCCCTCTTCAGCCTGCTTTCAGGAATCGTGGGAATGGGTGGGTGGTGGTTCGGGTGAGAAAGTTGAGACGGACGAAATGAAGACAGAAGATTATCTGTGGAATATTACTGCCCCAGCATTTGCCTAAGTGATCCAAGGAAACCACAGAAAAACTTGGACCAAGGCAGACGAACCCGGAGTCAAACCGGCGTCCTCCGAATGCTAAGCAATGGTCTAAACCTCTAGGCCATGCCGCTCGGTTCCTCCAGTAGAACAGCCCACATCCTTAACTATTTGCGAACAGTAATCTAATGTAGGTCCACCTCTACCCCTCCTAGCTCCTGTTTCTGCCTCTAATATGTCTCTGACTAGACCTTCATACCTGAGAAGGTGTGCTACCAACCTATCTCGCCTATTTCTTATTGACTTCCATAGAGTCCTCTGTTCTCCTATTCTTTCTATCACCTCTTCATTTCTAACCTACTCTATTCGCAGTATCCTCACCATTCGCCCGAAACATCACATTTTCAACTTTTCTTTACCGCCGTTTTCCGAACATAAAAGTTTCTTTTTCTTCTTCATGAAGACGACATGATCCTGCGTTACCCTCTGTTTTATATCTCTACTGCTCTTTCCATCTTGAGCTGTCTCGCTTCTTGATTTAAAGTATTAAATGTAAATATCAATAACGTATAAAACAATGTAAAATTGAATATACTGCTAATCACGGTAATAAATGTCTTATGGTGGAATTAAGAAAGCATGTGATCGACAATCTTGATTATCCTTCACGTAATAATAACACGTTTAGGAAAGTCTCGTGATAGACGTTAAGATAGTGATCGTTTCCTAGAAACGCGTAATCCTTTTGTATGTTCTAGTACATACAACATCAAAGTGAGATTTTCCATTTTCGTGTACTGGACAAATGCAAAAATGAATTCTTATTGTATTCCTTCGTCTGTCGAAAATTTTTTAAAAATATTTTTCTTTTATACACAAAAGGGGTGGGTTCACAACTGGGGGAGGGGGGGAAGAGATCGAAATTTAAAGGTAACATACTAGAATCAAATGAGGCTACATATCCCTCAGCCATTTCCTTTGATTTTAATAAAATAGTGAAACGTATTGTTCAGAAGTGGAACATGGTGTTCAGAAATGTTTATAAGAAAGGGGTAAAAACGAGGTGACCTGAAAAAGAACCCCTTCCGTATTTTATGTGGGGTATTGTTTGAGAGATCAGGTATTAAAAAATAGAATTTAATCTACAAATTTGCTTCAATTTATATTTAAATAGTCGAACTACAGTTATACATAATAGTAAGGTCAATTTAGGAAGGCGAACCATCACGACACGTATGTCTGTATGTACACCCCCTAACAATAATAACAGTACGAACTGCTGTTCTAAAACTCATGTCGTAAAGACTGACTGCTGTACTGCCACTGTCTATTTTTTTATCTATTATTATTAACTAGTCAATTAGTTGTGCGCAAAGCTAGAAAATTGACTTTCGACTATAATGCAAACTGTGCTTACTATTAGTTTAAGTAGGTACTTTTACACATGCGCAAATGCCGCAGACGAAGCCGCTCGATGCTCAAGTAGAAGACAATTTTTTCGGATTTCTTTATTACAGTGCATGCACATCCAAGCAACCATCAGTGGCTGCCGTGAACCCAGACCCGGTTGCGTTCCCAATAATAATAGCTTAGGCGGATGTCTATTTAACATCAACTATGTGAGTAAATACATATTTTTTTTTTGTTTGATAAGAGCATGTTCTACAGTTCCATATACCAAAAATTTTATTTGTTATTTATTTTATTTGGTAAATTAGTAAGCGGCTGATTTATGTATTATCAGTTAAAAATAAAATTACTAACGAGGCCTTGATAGACCCATGAGTGGCTAAATGGATAAGATAATTTACTGTTGCATGTATAATGAGCATCTACATACGCACATAAACGAGTAAGGCAGATTGTTCATCGAACATGAAAACTACACGTTTCTTTGTCGGAATATTTTTCTCATAATAGTTTTTATTAGTAAGTAAAAGTTCAACTTTTTTGTAAAATTTCAGATGTGATCAAGAGCGTGCCTAGCACACTAATAGTTGTAACATTAAAAAATATCCAAACAAAATATGATTAAGTTCGTTCGTGTTTAATTTAATGCTATTGTTTTCTAGTATCTACCAAAATTTCAGTCATTTTTTACGAACAGGTGCAGATACCTAGCTATTAAACAGTTTTTATTATTAATAAAAGTCATTTTATTAATCTGGGTTTGACATTTTTATTTTTTAATGTTGTTGTCCAGATCGTTTTGCATTTTTTTTTTCTCAAAAGTTCAACGTTTACCTATTACGAAATTTAAATAAAATATAAAACGGCTGTGGTAAATTATTATTAATTTTTTCTCGTATGTTGCAACAAAAACGAATTTATTTCTACATAAGCTGAAAGTACTTCTTTAACATTGTTAATGAAATGTTAATGTTTTTAAATCGTCATCATCATCGTCATCATAAGGTCGTCAAAAATTGATACAAAAATAAGAAAGAGAAACAAGTTCATTATGGCAAATTATAATTATTTGAAACACTAGAATTTGATTTTATGTAACATTAATAGCATTTTTTAGTCACGCATACTTATTCTAATCTAACTAATTCGAATCGACATTATGGAACGAATTTGAGAATGCAAATGTACAATGCAGAAAATTAGACAAGGATCATTATAATTTACGGCATTTAATTTCTGCAAAAAAATCGTACAAACAAGCGAATATGACTTTACTAATGGAATATTAAATTTGCTATCTAAATATTTTTTATTGTTTTGATTTTAATACGTCACAGGCATTATTCAATTGTTTCTGCCATCATCCACTTTTGTTTAATACTGGGGCGGCCACACATTGGCTTGTCAATACTGATCTAAATTTCGGCCAATCTTCAAATGCCAATGCCAATTGCAGTAACTATTTGCCAACATTTGTTTGGATACTGGAGCAGCCACACATTGACTTGTCAATCGTAATCTAAAGTTCGACCAATCTTCAGATGCCGAGGCTAGTTACAATAACGTTTCAAATATTTTTGTTTAATACTGGGGCAACCACATACTGACTTGTCAATATTGACCTAAAGTTCGGCCAATCATCAGATGCCAAAACTTGGAAAAGTAACGTTTCGGCAACATTTATTTAATACGGGGCGGCCACACATTGTCTTGTCAATACTGATCCAAAGTTCGACCAATCTTCAGATGCCAAGGCCAGGTACAGTAACGTATCACCAACTTTTGTTTAATACTGGGGCAGCCAAACATTGACTTGTCAATGCTGATCCAAAGTTTGGCCAATCTTCAAAGGCCAAGGCTTGGAACAGTAAGGTTTTGCCAATTTTTGTTTAATATGGGGCGGCCACACATCGACTTGTCAATACTGATCCAAAGTTCGGCTAATCTTCAGATGTCAAGGCTATGTACAGTGACGTTTCACTAACTGTTGTTTGATACTTGGGTAGCCACACATTGACTTGTCAATACTGATCTAAAGTTTGGCTAATCTTCAAATGTCATGGCTAGTTACAAGTAAGGTTTCGCCAACTTTTATTTAATACTGGGGCCGCCACACACTAACTTCTCAATACTGATCCAATGTTCAGCCAATCTTCAAAAATCAAAGCTAGTTACAGTAACGTTTCCTCAAATTTTGTGTAATACTGGGGCAGCCATACATTGACTTATCAATACTGATCCAAAGTTCGGCTAATCTTCAAATGTCAAGGCTAGTTACAGTAACGTTTCGTCAACTTTTATTTAATATTGGGGCAGCCACACACTAAGTTGTCAATACTGATCCAATGTTCAGCCAATCTTCAAATGCCAAGGCCAGTTACAGTAACGTTTCGCTAACTCTTGTGTAATACTGGGGCAGCCACACATTGACTTATCAATACTGATCTAATGATCGGCCAAACTTCAAATGCCAAGGCTAGGTACCTAAAGTTTCGCCAATACTGGTCGATCAAGTATTGGTCAAAATGGAAAGCGACACATTTAGCCAATCTTGGATTAATTTTGTTCATCAAGTCATGGTATAATATTAGCTGCCCAGTCTGCAGTTAATAAATTCCCAAAGCCTTGGCACAATTTTGAGTTAATATTCACCAAACCGCTAGCAAATTTTAGAATAATCATTTAGCAATTTAAGATATTTATGTAATCTGTCAAAAGTATCCATAAGTTATGTATTATGAATTAAATTTGAAAAAGAAATTCGAATTCTAATGATGAGGAAGATATTGGCAAGTCGCTGAGGCATTTTATCTTTAAATTTCTAAACATAGATACATGTACTACAACTTGTATTAGCAAGTGAAATTTGACGCAATTGTGGTTACAGGTATTATTACAACCGTTATTAAATTTAATACTAGTAATCTGCAAGGAGAAGCACGTTTGTTGAAATTGCAACAATTTTCTGCGATTTTCATTCAATTTTGTTGTTGTTGCATGAAATTAAACAGCGGAAAAAATAAATGCATCAAATACAATAAGTAGAGATACTAAACACCACAATATTTGAATACAGTGAATTGAACAAGTGTATAGCTCCTTACATAGTATTAAAAATGTTTTCATAATTAATTTTGTTTTATTTTCATTTTAAATTACATACTACAAAAATTGTGAAAGGGTACTTTGTTCCAGAATAACCATGAAGATTGTAATTCCATGGGTACAAAATGTCGTGCAGAAAACATTTAAAAAGAAGATTCTATATCGTCGTCTTCCGATCCTGGGCTGGTTACCAAATTATAACAAAAAGGACGTCATAATAGGTGATATAATAGCTGGAATAACCGTTGGTCTCATGATGGTACCACAAGGTCTTGCCTGTGCCAACATCGCTGGTTTGGCACCACAGGTAAGGACAACAGTTATATTAATTAGATTTAAATTTAAATACCNCGTCTTCCGATCCTGGGCTGGTTACCAAATTATAACAAAAAGGACGTCATAATAGGTGATATAATAGCTGGAATAACCGTTGGTCTCATGATGGTTCCACAAGGTCTTGCCTGTGCCAAAATCGCTGGTTTGGCACCCCAGGTAAGGACAACAGTTATATTAATTAGATTTAAATTTAAATACCGATATCCCAATAAATATTTCTTACGTAATTGATAGCGTTGAAATATACAATATATTTATATTATTATAATGAACAGAGGGCGATATGTCAATCAACAAGAAATAGGGGAATTAGGTCGATAGGACACCTTCTCAAACATAAAGGACTAGGTAGAGACATATTAGAAGCAGAAACAGTAGAAGACCCAGATTAAACTACTGTTCGCAAACAGTTATTACAGAAGAAGGTTGCTGTAGTTTCTGAGAAATGTAAAATTTGGTTTAAGACAGGAAGACATGTAGATTGTAGATGCCTGCCCACTGTTCAACAAGTCATTGGGCTGATGAACTTATATTGATGACGATGATGACGATGTAACGATTTATAATTCATAAACATACGCAAGTCAGCATTTCTATCGTCGCCGTCCATTGACCAAAACTAGGTCAAACATCGAACTCGGGTCAAACTGATGTTAGATGGACATTTTGCATATAACCCATGTAAATAATTATTGTATAAATAAAAATATTCCGAATAAATCAGTCTCGCAAATAGGGTTGCCATCCGTCCGGGTTTCCCCGGATTTGTCCTAGTTTAGAGGGCATCCGGGGAGCGTCCGGGGGGGCTTCATTTGTAGTCCTAGTTTAAAAATTTAAAGTCTTGGGCCGCCCGCCACACACGTAAAAGAAATCTAACTGATTATTAAAACAATTTGTAACAAACTGTAATAAGAGTAATAAGAATACACAGACAACTTCGAATTATTTTATAAGATTCTGTTTTGTTAGGTACATTGAAAATGATGATAAAGAATGACTAAATTTAATTTTAAGGTCTGAAAATAAATAAAAGGGTGATTTATGACATTTTCAACTGTTTTTTGTTACACTGACTATGTTTAAAAAAACCTGTTGACATGTCCTGGTTCTGGACTCTAAAATCCGGGGTTTTCACGCGTCTTGCCCTGGTTTCCAAATTTTAGACATGACAACCCTACTCGCAAATAGACTTCTTCTGACTATTGGCCTTGTGAATAGAATATAGTCACATCCTCCTCTAGCTCCAGTCTCGCAAATAGGCTGGAAACTGACATCTGTATCCGTTAGCGTCTCGCACGTTAAACACGTGTTATGTCAAAAAAATAGGGCATGACCTTTAGTTAAGAAATATCGCATTCTGTCAGCTCCATGACTCTTCAAGTATTGTAGCATGTTGCTGTATACTGATGAATTGCCACAGGTACCAGGAAGAAGAACTGTAGAAGACGTAGTGTAGTAGAAGAATGAGGAAAAGGTTAAAAATGAGATATTGACAGGAGTGGGGGAACAAAAGGCCCTATGGAAGGAAAACTATAGAGATCTGAATGTAGGGCACCATCTGAGACATGAGTTAAACCTTAGATTTGCTTAGGTACTGTTCGCAAATAGTTAAGTATGTGGGATATTCCGGTTTAAGAAAAGGCGAAGATTGCCTCAAGATAAAAAGATGCATGTCCATCCTGTCTTCGGGCTGATGACTCTATGGTGATGATATAATACGAGGGTGGATTGATAAGTTTCCGGCCTGACCAAGAAAAACAAGGTTTTTAAAAAAATTTTTTTTTTATTTCTCAACATAATCTCCTCCAAGGCTGATACATTTCTCATAGCGGTGTTCCAGTCTATTAATGCCATCTCTATAGACTGATTCGTCAAGCTCCTCAAAATAACCATTTACAGCTTCGATTACTTCTTCATTGTCCGCAAATCTCTTACCGCCAAGCCATTTTTTGAGATTAGGGAACAGAAAATAGTCACTCGGGGCTAGGTCTGGAGAGTAAGGAGGGTGCGGCATCAATTCAAACTTTAGATCGTTGATTTTAGCCGTCGCAACGATTGACGTGTGCGCTGGTGCGTTATCGTGATGAAACAAGATTTTTTTCTTCGCCAGATGAGGTCGTTTAATTTTCACCTCGTGGCTCAAACGTTGCAATAAGTCTGCGTAGTATTGACCAGTGATAGTATTACCCTTTGCAAGGTAATCAATGTATATAATACCTCTTGCATCCCAAAAAACAGTAGCCATAACCTTGTTCGCCGAAAAAATTGTTTTTGCCTTCTTTGGAGTTGGTTCCCCTGGTCCAATCCACTGTTTAGACTGTTCTTTGGTTTCAGGAGTGTAGTGGTGGACCCACGTTTCGTCAACGGTTACGAATCGACGCAAAAATTCGCTTGGATTACGCTTATACAATGACAAATTTGCGGTAGAAATGTTTTTTCGAATCAATTTTTGGTCGACTGTTAGCAAACGCGGCACCCATCTTGCACAGAGCTTTTCCATATGCAAATGTTGGTGCAAAATATGTTGCACACGTTCATATGACATCTTACAGGTCTCAGCTATCTCACGCACTTTCAATCTGCGGTCTCCCAGCACTATTTGATGAATTTTTTCGATCATATCTGGAGTTGTGACCTCAACGGGGCGTCCTGAGCGAGGCCCATCAGAGGTGCTCACACGACCCTTTTTAAACTCGGAAACCCACTGCTTAACGGTTGAATATGACGGGGAGGATGTCCCCAGTGTTGAGTCCATCTCTTTTTTAATTTCCTTCGGCGTTAACCCCTTCAAATAAAAGTATTTGATGACAGCACGATTTTCCTGCTTTTCCATTTTTACGAAAACCACAGAGGCGTCTTGTTCAGCGTGCTGTCAAACCTACACTAGCAAGGAGATCGGGCTGAAACTATAGCTACAAGCTATCCAAGGATGGTACTATAGAATGTCACCTCAAGGTAGGCCTAGTGGCGTCATCTCTTGGTTAGGCCGGAAACTTATCAATCCACCCTCGTATGAAAAGATGGCTGGAAGCATTTCTACGAATTTCCCCATATCACAATAATATAAACAAAGTTTTTTTAAAAAATAAGGACAGATTAGAACTTCATTTATTGTTCTTTTCAGTATGGTTTGTACGGCGCATTCGCGGGGTCCTTCGTGTATATAATTTTCGGAAGCTGCAAAGACATTTCCATGGGGCCTACGGTGATTGTATCACTTCTGACGTATCAGGCTACGAATGGCAAAGCACCTGAATACGCAATATTGCTCTGCTTCCTTTCAGGAATCATACAACTACTGATGGGGATATTCAATTTGGGTGAGTAGACAACATAATTAGACCATGAATACAATGTAATAAATCTGAGTTAATTTAGTTTGTTTGGGCAGCATAGGTTTACTAAGATATAAATTTTATTTGTGGTTTCTAAAATGTGGGTTTTGGAACTCGCCTGGAGGTTGCATAATAGGAATTCTTTAAATAGAAAAATTGTTCAACGAAGGAAATGGCATGAAAATACATGAATTGAAAATATTGGTATTAGTAGTAGGAGGACGAGGGCGTAATGCGTAATGCAAGTCAATAAGAAATAGGCGAAATGGTCAGAACAATAATCTCAAACATTTTTATTTATCATCATCAAAAGGTCGTCAGTCCTAAGACTGGTTGAACACGCACCTCCACTATTTTCTATCCTGAGATAATCTTTGCATTTCCCCAAAACCAGAACATCCCACATCCTTAACTATTCGTGAACAGTAATCTAATCTAGGTCTACTTCTACTTCTCTTAACTCCTGTTTGCGCCTCTAATAAGTGATAAGCTGACTTCATGCCTGAAGTCCTACCAACCTATCTTTTTACTGACTTCCATAGAGTCCTCTGTTTTCCTATTGTTTCTAATATCTCCTCATTTCTAACCTTCTCTATCCACGGTATCCCCATCACTCGCTTGTAACACCCAAATTCGAAAAGGAAGCTGTAGGTTAAGGTTTGCGTTACAGGGAGGGGTTCCTAGGCTAGGCGTTAGTCCTGTTACGTGGAATAAAGGATGTTTTGATGGATTTTGCGCAGTGTAATTTATAACAGTCCCTAAGGGATTATCATCTTCAAGACTAATTCCTGACTCGAATGTATCTTTCAAGTTACTATCGTGTTGCATTTCAATTACTTCTTCATGATTTGTATCAGGCATCTCAGAAACGTTGACAAAACGGATTGAAGATCAAGTTCCGGATACCTTTGTCCTTTTCAAGTTTTTCAAATGCAGTGTAATGCTCTTTTGTAATTCTACATTAATCTTAGTTTAATATTCTTCGAGTGACTTTGCGGGCCACTTTGGGTGCTTCCAGAACTACTGAGCTAGTCAAATGCTGAGGCATCAATATTCCAGATAATCTGATAATCTTTCGCTCTTTTCTGTCTTCACTTCGTCCGTGTCAGTTTTCTCACCCCAAACACCCTGTCGCTCCTACGATTCCTAAAAGGAGGCTGAAGATAGACTTAAATTCTACCCTCCGGTGTAATCCTGAGGGACTGGCCGCCCACCATCATTAATAGCTGGCGGGAATGAAACAGCCAAGGGTTTTTTTATGAATGAACTTTGGTGAGTTATTTTTCAAATCTTTAGGGAGGCTTCAGAATTAAGAAGAATTAAATAGTTCCGAATAATTCGCTGCTCTGACTCCAGAAAAGAGAAATTGATGCTGTTCTATTTTGATTTAAAGTCATCACCATAAGCCCATCAGTCTCTAGACTGGTTGGACACGCACCTCCACTATTTCCGATCCTGAGATAATCTTTGCATTTCCCTAAAAGTGGAGCATCCCACATGCTTAATGATTTGTGAACAGTAATCTTATCTAGGTCCACCTCTACTTCTCGTAATTCCTGTTTCTGCTTCTAGTATCTCCTTGACTAGCCCTTCATGTCTGAGAAGGTGTCCTACCGATCTATTTCGCCTATTTCTTATGATACGTCCCGTTTTCTGACCTTCTACATCCACATCATTTGCCCTACAACACATTTCGAACTCTTCTAACCTTTTCTTTTCTGCCGCGTCCACTACCCGTACAGCGTCGCGCTCCAAACATACACCTTTAACAATCTTTTTCAAATTTCTAAATAAACTGTCCGCGAACATAGAAGTAACTTTTTTTATATTGAAGGCGGCTCGACCCTACGCTATCCTTTGTTTCATATCTCTACCTATCTGACTTCCTGTATGCGAATTTATAGAAACCATCAATGATTTAATTAAGGATCAGTACCTACTGACATTTCACTGAAGTTGAAATTTACCTATAGACTACACAGTTTTCGTGTTTCAATGCTAAACTCGCTTTTCTTTATGTTTACTAAAAGGTTTCCTTGTGGATTTCATATCAGGGCCAGTCTCGTCAGGATTTACGTCAGCAATGGCCCTGATAGTGACCGCATATCAGGCAAAGGACATTTTGGGTCTGAAATTGCCTGGAACAACGTTCGTCGAAGTCTGCTACAACATCTTTTCCCATATTACCGACATAAACGTTTGGGATACCGTTATGGGTCTAACGTCCATTGCAATATTGGTTTTGATGAAGGTTTGTTTACGTTTTCAAGTTTTACTTATCCCTATTCTTGTCTTCGAAGATTAATAGTAGCTACGAGAAACAGTATGTTTTTTTTTGCCAATTTAAAATGAGAAATGTTACAATCAAAGCCAAATTATTGGTCTAATCTGGCATAAATGAAACACTATTCACAATTTCGCATCTTAAATTAGAATTTAACTTAAACATGGTAAAATAATGATTCGATATGAAGATCCATGGATTAAATCAACTGTTCGGTTCAAGCCTTTCGTCGGCAAGAGCGGCTGAGTCTTGAAGTTTCGGCAACGACTGAATGCTGAAACTTCGAGCGCCTAGCAGTTACCCAGCCCTGCTCTAAGTTTTTCTGTGGCTTCCTTGGAACACTTAAGTAAATGCTGGGGCAGTAATATTCCACAGATAATCTAATTACTCCCTTCTGTCTTTTTTTCGCCCCGCCCACCAGCATTAATGACTGGTGGGAATGTACCATTCTTCCATGGATTTCGGCCTTGAAAATCAATGATCTTGTACTTAACTTAAATATACTTCGGGAAATTCAAGAAGGCGAAGTCGACAACAAATTATCCTATTAATCCATAGACAAAAATTTTCAGTCTCTCAGAGTTTTTTAGCGTCTCTCACAGTCTCTCAGTTATTAAAATAGCTACCGTTTTGCCCAATAATTTGTTGAGGACTTTGGCTTCCCAACTTGACCCTAACTTATACTAACATATCTACAGTAAATTATCCCAAAGGTATTTAGTTCGCGGAAATCCAATTCCAAAACACTACCAGTGGCCGAAACCAAATCAAAACCTACCAACAAAATTCAAAAGGTATTTGGTCACGTCTTGGGGATGCTTTTCAACTGTAGAAACGCTCTCATCGTGGTGTTGTGCAGTGTTATAGCCTATTGGTCTTTGAAGTTCTACGAAGACTCCCCTTTTACATTAGTTAAAGACGTTCCATCAGGATTACCAGCGTTTTCCTTGCCACCGTTTGGTTTTGGCAATGGTAACGAAACCACCACCTTCCCCGAAATGGTTTCGAGTTATGGGTCAGGAATTCTTGTAGTTCCACTGTTATCATTGTTGGAAGACATTTCGACTTGTAAATCGTTTGGTAAGTTTTTTTTTGCGAATCGTTCTTATATTATAGATACTTTCATTGTTTTTAACAGCAAATGGGAAATCGGTTGATGCCACGCAAGAAATGATCGCGGTAGGCCTTTGCAACGTTGTCAACTCCTTTGTACATGGTCATCCCGGAAGTGGGGCCATGGCTAGGAGTGCCGTTAACAGAAGAAGCGGCGTCCGCACCCAAATGGCTTCCCTGTACACAGCGTTGTTGGTTATAATAGCCCTGCTGTTTTTTACCTCGTCCTTTTACTACATTCCGAAATGCTGCCTGGCAGCCATCGTTATAGCCGCCATAATCTTCATGGTGGACGTCAAGGCAATTGTGCCAATGTGGAAAACAAAAAGTGAGTAGATTGTTTTGTTTGTAGCAACGATGTCACTCACTTAATTATCATTTGTTTCAGAATCTGATTTTTGGGTTGGTTTAGCTACGTTCATAGCATGCCTTGTTATACCCCTCGCAGCTGGAATTATGGTAGGGGTGGTGATTCACCTACTTTTCATCCTTTATTATGCATCTAGACCCGAAATATACATCGAAACTCAAATGGTAAGGCATTTTTCATATATTATATGAAGGCATGATTAGTAATTTTCTTCATATAATGCCAAAAATTATCAGAAATGATTTTGAGCAACATTATTTTCCCATATTCTCCGCCACTGGTTAAGACCGCGATGATAATAAAATTGTTGTAACAACGGTATTACACTTATTTCATAAAGACAATTGCAATTGCCTATTAAATCGTAGATAAGTGAAACATTTCCTTAAAGCATATACATTTTATATGTGCATGGTTAACCACGTCCCTATAGATACGAAGTCAAATGGGCAAACACATAATGTCAAATTTTGTTTTCATTGTTTCTTCGGCTTACCTACACATGCCTTGTATATTTCTGTTAAAGTCAACGACAATAGAAACAAAAGTAATGACAAAAGCAACGTTTCTTTCGTTTTTTATACAAACACCCACATCAAAGGAATGGCGTGGACATAGAGTGGTTTAAACAGCATGATTAAAATGGAGGAGATTATTTACTGTTTCCATTACAAATAGTTTCTCCTTCCGATTAAATATTCTACCAGTTAAATGTAAAATAAATCAAAATATCTACCTACTACAAGACGAGCTCGTGATTACCGCGTTTGGTACCTTCACATAACCTCACTTTACAAAGATTACTTTATTACTTTTGTACATTAACTTAATACACCACCACATTTCAACGGTTTTTACCATAAAATGAATTGCTCATCATCAATTAAAAGTTTCTGTGACACAAATTCTATAAATACATACAACATATCTAACTTATAACATACCTACCTACAATTTCGACATTTTGTTTTTCATAAAATTAATATGTAGGAAAGAAAGATCATACTTATGAAACAAATAAGAAAGTAATAGTAATTAAACTTACCATTCTCTGGGTAAAAATGGAGAAAACGATTCAATTTTATGTTCACCATTTACCTGATAAATTTGCAAAACCCACCACGTCTAAACGATAACGTCTATTCACTACCGCAAACCGCACTCAACTGATGCAGAAATGATTCATGCTCTGCTACAGCAACTGTTCCATAGCACCCTATTGGTCCTATGTTTATTTCCACTTCCCTACATTTTGTTTTTTGTATACATAATTATTAATGAAATATGAAATTGATGTTTATTATAAATTAAAACTTAATAACAGTTAATCGTAATAAAAAACAGTAGTTTTACCCTAAACTACCATAGAGTATCACGAATTAGATTGTTGTTATACAGGGTGTTTGGGGTTGTATTATTGCATATAACTGTGTTTGGTATTTCAGACACCATGTGGAAAGAAATACCTGTTGGTGACACCCGACAGATTTTTAGTTTTCCCTTCGGCTGAATACGTTAGGAATTTAGTTACAAAACACTCTGTATCGCAGGGGATTCCCGTGATTATAGATTGCCTTCACATTCACGATAGCGATTACACCACTGCCACCGCTATAAGAACTTTGATTTCAAGTTTCTCTACCAGGAACCAACCCCTGTTCTTCCTTAACATTAAACCCAACGTTTTGAGCATGTTCAAGGCGACATCGTCAGACGAATTCGTTATACTGAATTGTAAAAATGATATTGCAAGTGTTCTTTAAGGGAACAATGGGAGACGTTTTTATTAGATAGATAGTTCCTACCTGTACATATGTAGTTTATTATTTATATTATTGTGATGTTTTTTTTTTTTATTTATTAGACATGTGCAGATATCTCGATGTATGTAAATAAATAATTAAGATCTCAACTGAAGATTATTTATTTCTTGTTTGAATAATAACAATAGCCTATTTTTTTACATTTTTAATTAATAACAACAGTTTTATCACACACAATTCATTTGTCAAGAATTAAAATTATTATTTATAAAAAATTGCACATCGTTGTAGTGATGCTTTTTTGTTTCAACAATTAATAAAAATAAAAAAAGGAATATACAGTTATAAGTAATTGTTGTAATTTTCTTAAGAAGATATCACTTTCTTTTTTTTTATAAAAATTTGATCTTCGTTATTTACATGATTTTTAGCGACAATAAATTAGGAAAAAATTACTATACAAAATTACGTAAAAAAAAATACAAACGTTGGTTTTAAAAATTATCTGTACTTCTATAGTATGGGATTGTGAATACCCCGATGTTGTTAC